CCAAATGGTCAGTGCGCCCCTGCTCGCAAGATTATAGTAAAAGCAGCCATTTTCCAGCGTTTGTAGACTGTTCTTCCTTCGTTCAGAGAACTGATATACACCTATAACTACCACTTCCTTAAGTGTAATAAGTGCTAAATTAAAAAAAAAACAATATGCAACAAAACTTAATTCCCTATAACACAAACAAAACCTTCACCCTTGAAGATATAAGATAACAATATGAAAATGTGCCAAAATTACATAAATAAATAAATACTTGTACAATTCACCTCATAAAGTAACTATATATCAATATTCAAAAAGAAATTTCAAAGAAATAATTCTAAAAAATATTCAAAAAAAATATAATAATTCAAAAAAGTAAGAAAAAGTCCCAAAAAAAGTCCAAACAAAATTAATATAAGTTCAAACAAATTCCAAAAAATATAAGTATAAAAATGAAACTGGGAAATCCTTTTCAATCCTTCCTTTCTCACGATAAACCTCAAACAAAAGAAAATATCACATAGTGCATTATCTTTATAATATAATAAAATATTCGTGACGACACTCTGGTGATTACCCAATATAAAATATATTTTATTTTTTAAAATAATTAGTGTAAAAAGTGAACCAAGTGCATCAATTTAATTAATTAAAAAATATATAAATTAATTAGTGCAAAACACTGTGTACTGTGAATCACTCTTCCAGTGCTCCAAAAACAAATCCACACTGTGCCACTTCTATTATAGTAAGGAATATATACCCTTACCAACACTTATGATTAAGTCGATGACGAAACGCGTCAAGGGCTGTGACGTCAGGACGCATACCGGAACCGGAAGTCGACCGGCGGCCATTTTACAAAAGGGAAAGGAGGATAAAGACTGTGTGTTGATCCCTGGATGTTCCCTGGATGGTAGCTTGGCGGTTTCTACGGTATCTAAAGTGTATATATTCCTTACTATAATAGAAGTGGCACAGTGTGGATTTGTTTTTGGAGCACTGGAAGAGTGATTCACAGTACACAGTGTTTTGCACTAATTAATTTATATATTTTTTTAATTAATTAAATTGATGCACTTGGTTCACTTTTTACACTAATTATTTTAAAAAATAAAATATATTTTATATTGGGTAATCACCAGAGTGTCGTCACGAATATTTTATTATATTATAAAGATAATGCACTATGTGATATTTTCTTTTGTTTGAGGTTTATCGTGAGAAAGGAAGGATTGAAAAGGATTTCCCAGTTTCATTTTTATACTTATATTTTTTGGAATTTGTTTGAACTTATATTAATTTTGTTTGGACTTTTTTTGGGACTTTTTCTTACTTTTTTGAATTATTATATTTTTTTGAATATTTTTTAGAATTATTTCTTTGAAATTTCTTTTTGAATATTGATATATAGTTACTTTATGAGGTGAATTGTACAAGTATTTATTTATTTATGTAATTTTGGCACATTTTCATATTGTTAACTGATATACACCGCTTCATAAAAGGCATTCACTGGAGAACTGTTCTCTCCGAGAATTTCGGAGAACTGAGCAGCGATCATTTACCACTGGTTCATAAACGGACACCTTAATTAGGGTGGATTAGAGTAAATTAAGGATTAATAAGGGGTTAAACAGAGGAACATTTAATTAAAAAAACACAAACAAACTTTTTTACTTGACAGTTTGCTTTTAATCTGTAGATGAATAAATAGAATGATACAAAATGAAACAATGTTTCTTTTTAGTTTTCTGTTTTAGGCTGAAAAATGTTGTTGATAAACGTTGTCAGGTTGCTTTTTTTTTTTTTGACAGCTCCAATTGCCCAGACTTCTTTACACTTCAGCTGTCAGCAGGGGAATCCCGCTGACAGCTAACTGAGTCATGGGATCTGGCCCCTCTCCTTAACAACCAGTAATTAATGGCTTTTTTGGTATTTGCTGTTTTTTTTAAATTTAAATTTCAGCTGTCAGCGGGTAATCCCACTGACAGCTGAAAGAAGCGAGTCAGGTTTCAGAGCATTTGCATGAGTACTGACACTCATGCAAACGCTTAGTATAGGCAACGATACCGATATCAGTGCAACCCCAATATATATATATATATACATACACACACAAAGTCATGGTCAGAAATACTGACATCCCTGCATTTCACTCAGATGATGCACCACTTCACCCAGGAAATCATTGTAATTACAAATGTTTAGGCATTTTCATGTTTATTTCTTTTGTTTGTATTGGTATGACACAAAAAAGTAGAATAGCAAAAAGCCATATCTGAAGCATTTCATGCAAACCCCCCAAAATGGACTGGAAAAAATTATTGGAACCTTCTCAAAGTTATAAGAAACAATTGCATTCCATGTTTGTGATACTCCTGTAATTTGAAATTAAACTTACCTGTAGCAATTAACAGGTGTTGACAATATAGAAATCACACCGGCAACCTGTGGTATGTCTGTGTGTGACTTGGAGCATGGAGAAGAGAAAGAGCAGCAAATAATTTTCTGAGGATTTGAGAACAAAAACTGTGGAAAAGCATGGACAATCTCATGGTTACAAGTCCATCTTCAGAGATCTTAATGTTCCTGTGTCCACTTTGCGCAACATTGTCAAGACGTTTACAGCCAATGGCACTGCTATTCTTCCTGGACATGGACAAAAGAGAAAAATTGATCAAAGATTTCAAACTTACATGAGGAAGTCAAAATCCTTTTGGGAGAATGTGCTATGGACAGACAAATCACAATTACAGCTTTTTGGTAAAGCCCATCATTCTACTGTTTTCAGAAAAAGAAATGAGGCATTTAAAGAAAAGAATACAGTCCCTACAGTCACACATGGTGGAGGTTCTCTGATGTTTTGGGGTTGCTTTGCTGCTTCAGGCACTGGATGTCTTAACCGTGTGCATGGCATTATAAAATCTGAAGACTACCAAAGAATTCTGGGGTGCAATGTAGGACCCAGTGTCAGAAATTTGGGTCTCTGTCAGAGGTCATGGGTCTTACAGCAGGACAATGATCCAAAGCACACGCCAAAAAGCACCCAGAAATGGTTTCAGACAAAGCGCTGGAGAGTACTGAACTGGCCAGCAATGAATCCAGATCTCAATACCACCTGTGGAGAGATCTTAAAACAGCAGTTGGGAAAAGGAACCCTTCCAAACTGAGAGACCTGGAGCAGTTGGCAAAAGAAGAGTGGTCCAAATTTCCAGTAGAGAGGTGTAAGAAACTTATTGATAGTTGCAGGAAACAATTGATTTCAGTTATTTTTTCCAAGTGGTGTGCTACCAAATATTAAATTGGGGGTGCCAATAATTTTGTCCAATCCATTTTTTGGGTTTTGCATGGAATGTGTCAGATTTGGCTTTTTCTCTCTCAACTTTTTCGTGTCATACAAATACAAACAAAATAAATAAACATGAGAATGACTAAACATTTGTAATTGTGACAATTTTCTAGGTGAAGTGGTGCATTCTCTGACAGAAATGCAGGGGTGCCAATATTTTTGACCATGACTGTATATGGTCTGTTAAAGCTGAACACCAGACACAAAAACTTTAATTTCAATATATTCTACAATAACCACAAAAGCTTTAAATCCACTTTGTGTGCACCAAATGCCTTTTAAATTAAGATGTTACATTGTAAAAGTAGTAGTGACATCAGCACTGTGCTGTACCGAGCCTGTGTAGAGAGTCGAGCCAAGGGAGGGGCCAAGTAGCTCCACCTACAACCTGCTGGTTGCAAAAAAAAGCAGGAGGGGGCGGATACAAGACCAGTCACCCTGCAAAAGGAGAGACAGCAGCAGTGATTGGTCTGTATTACAGGGATCTCCTGGACAGAGGCAATGTTTCACACAATATACACAAAGCACACCAAGATTCAAGTAAGAATACACCTTTTGAATTTAGACAAAATCTGCTTACCTCAGAGATCTGCTTTAACTATACCATTGAAAAAGCCTGGTTATATCGATTCAGTAAGTGCAGAAAAATACCTGTTAATTGTGGCAGAAATCCAGTGATATCCCTTGTCTTGTACACTCTTATCTCATGTAGTGTTATCTGCCCAGTTCACCCCTGCAAACTACAGAACACATCCCCCTGTTATAGAGAAGAGCAGAATGCAAGCTGTCCTATATTTTTTAACACACCGCCTGTCCTAAGGTGACAATCCTGCAATGAGTGATCGTTGTCACCTTAAGACAGGAAGTGTGCTACTGGCATAATCACCACATAAAGGAAAGGAGAAAAAAGCCTTAAAAAAGGAATGCAGACGCCTGTCAGGAATCAGCAGCAGGGATGGCCAGATCTGCGTGACTACACTCAGGAAACTGGGACCAGACTGTAAATGGTTTAAGTGAGATTTATTTACGGTGTAACAAAATCCATCCAAACACCAGCACAGCAAAAATAAAAATATAAGTGAACCAATAACTCAGGGACAGAATAACTACTAATAACTAACAAGCAAAAAACCTAACAACTAACTATACACAATATATATAGAAAATGGGGAACACAGAAAAGCAGGAGAAAGCAAGAGGTGTAGGGAGCATATGGGAAGGGGGAAACAAAACTGGGAAAAGAAATAAGGGAGAACAAGTATAAGGCAGCAGGGTACTGGGTACAGGGCACAGGTCAGGAGCAAGATCAGGATTAATGGCAACAGAATCTGGCAGCAGCAAAATACTGCAGTGAGAGGTACTAATAGGGAGACCCTCCCAGCAGCCAGCATCAGGAGGAAAATGATTTCTAGGATCTGCTGGGGGCTGGGAGACACTCTCTAGAGCAGGGGTAAGCAACCTTAACCACCTCCCACCTGCCATATAGTAATTTGATGGGAGCAAGGTGGTTCTCTCATTCTGGGAGGATGTCATATGACGTCCTCCCATTCTCAATGCGCTCAGGGTGCGCGCAGCACGGCGATCGGCGGTGTGCTGTGTCCCTCGGACACAGCGGATCACCAATCACAGAAAGAGCCGAAGATGTAGGCTCGGTCATGTGATCAGCTGTGTCCAATCACAGCTGATCACATGTAAATAGGGAAATGCCGGTTATCAGCATTTCTCTCCTCTCGAGCTGTCACGCTGACAGCTCGAGAGGAGAGGAGAGGAGAGCCGGTAATCGGCTTTCCGTGGATGGGACATGTACACAGATCATCAGAGCACTGATGATCAGTGTGCCCTGATGATCAGTGTAGCCCCAGCAGTGCCACCTGTCAGTGTCCATCAGTGCCTTATGTCAGTGCTTCGTGCCAGTGCCCATCAGTGCCACATATCAGTGCCCATCTGAGCTGCCTTTCAGTGTCACCCATCAGTGCCAGTCAGTGCCGCCTATCAATGCCAATCAGTGCCACCTATCAATGCTGCTAATCAGTGCCACCTATCAGTGCCATTCAGTGCCGCCTATCAGAGCCAGTCAGTGCTGCCTATCAGTGCCGCCTATCAGTGCCTGTCAGTGCCGCCTAACAGTGCCAGTCAGTGCTGCCTATTAGTGCCAGTCAGTGCTGCCCATCAGTGCTGCCTTTCAGTGCCCATCAGTGATGCCTGTCAATGCCCATCAGTGCCACCTATCAGTGTCCATCAGTGCAGCCTATCAGTGCCCATCAGTGCAGCCTCATTATCGCACATCAGTGAAGGAGAAAAATCACTTATTTACAACATTTTATAACAAAAACTAAGAAAAAACATTTTTTTTTTTCAAAATTTTCATTGGTTTTTGCTTTGTTTAAGAAAAAATAAAAAACCCAGAGGTGATTAAATACCACCAAAATAAATCTCTGTCACAAAAAAATGATAAAAATTTCATATGGGTACAGTGTTGTTTGACCGCGCAATTGTCATTCAAAGTGTGTCGGCGCTGAAAGCTGGAAATTGGCCTGGGCAGGAAGGGGGTATAAGTGCCCTGTAGGCTAGTGGTTAAAAAGGTGGAGATCTACTTGAACAACACAGGAGAAGTAAAGATCACCGGGCACAGTGTCACCTCCTCATACCTGATTTAAACCTCTAATTATCGTACTACTGTACTGTCACAATTGCATGCATTCCACGGCAATCATGGATTTAAATCAAGTGGTGATGAGGCATCGTATTGCCTCCTCACCCCTTGTCAAACACACTTTTCAGAGGAGCAGCAGTGCCTGCTGCCCTTATGAATGAGCCTTTAATTGCATTCAGCAGCAGCGCTCTAGGGTTCATTCACATGTAATTTCCCCTCCTAGCCTACCCCCCTCAGTACAGCCCCCATTCTTCAACATAAACACCTTAGTACAGACTTTCTGTCCAGCACAGACTGACACCCCCCAACACAGACCCCTCAGAACAGACCGACTTCCCCACAGCAAATCCCCCTCCCCCCCCCATGCACAGACTCTGCCCCCATTAAACTGCTAAGGCAGCCAGAGGAAGTTGTATACACTCACTTTATTAGATACACCTGTTCAATTGCTTGGTAACACAAATTGCTAATCAGTCAATCTCATGACAGCAACTCAATGCATTTAGGCATCTAGATGCGGTGAAAACAACTTGCTGAAGTTCAAACTGAGAATCAGAATGGGGAAGAAAGGGGATTTAAGTAACTTCGAATGTGGCATGGTTGTTGGTGCCAGACGGACTGGTCTGAGTATTTAAAAAACTGCTGATCTCCTGGGATTTTCACACACAACCATCTCTAAGGTTTACAGAGAATGGTCCATAAAAGAGAAAATATCCAGTGAGTGGCAGTTGTATGGATGAAAATGCCTTCTTAATGTCAGAGGTCAGAGGAGAATGGGCAGACTTGAGATGAAAAAAAAGGCAATAGTAACTCTAATAACCACTCGTTACAACCAAGGTATGCAGAACACCATCTCTGAATGCACAACACGTCGAACCTTGAAGCAGATGGGCTACAGCAGCAGAAGACTACACTGGGTGCCACTCCTGTTGGTTAAGAACAGGAAACGGAGGCTACAATTTGGACAGGCTTATCAAAATTGGACAATTGAAGATTGGAAAAACGTTGCCTGGTCTGATGACTCTCGATTTCAGCTGTGATACTCAGATAATAGAGTCAGAATATGGTGTAAACAACATGAAAGTATGGAGCCATCCTGACTTGTATCAACGGTTCATGGATGTGCAGCCAACAAGTCTGCACCAAGTGCGTGTTGCTATCATGTCAATATGGACCAAAATCTCCGCGGAATGGTTGCAACACTTGTTGGATCTATGCCACGAAGAGCAGTTCTGAAGACAAAAGGGGGCCCAACCCGGTACTAACAAGATGGGCTAATAAAGTGGCCAGTGAGTGTACATGCTGCAGTCAAAGCAAAAATTATACCCCCATTGCATTCGGCAGATGTTCAGGTGAATGGAGAGGTGCCACAACCTCCCTGTAATGACATGTAATGCATAAGGTTTGGATGTGATGGTCCAGCTTTACAGTGTTAAAACAGGTGGTGAAGAGGAGCCATAACGCCTTCCAGCAGCAGTCTGTCAAACTTCCTCTGAAAAGAGAGCTACTGTGGGTCACTCTTCTTTATGCAAACGTAATTTAGCCTTTATTGAACAGATATTATTATTATTATTATACAGTATTTATAAAGCGCCAACAGTTCACTCAGCGCTGTACATTACAAAGGGGGACAGAACATGCGACAGTACAGTAACAATACAATGTGATACACGAGGGGTTCGATGTCATTCTCACTCCATTCAGTCTTCCCCGTCCCTTTTTTGAAGGAATGTGGTCTGTGAGTGTGCTGAGTTCAGAAGTGCACGTGGCACAGCTGGATATGCTTCATGGTTGTAAACCCAATTAGCTGGTTCCAGGATGTCTGTCATGCTCTTGCCTTGGCCGGGTCGTAAAGCTATAAATCAGTCCGTCACTGGACATGAAAAGCATTCCAGAATGGCAGTAAAACATACATCCCACTTGAAACCACTTTTTCATACAATTTCATAAATCCCGACAGGAACAAGGAACAATAAAACAAAGCATATATTCAGATAGGTCAATTTAATACGAGTCACCTGACACCTTACTCCCCTATGTGGCACCTACACGAGAGTAGAAAGCAATATGTCTTTATCTGGAACGGTAAGATATGTCATATTTGATGTCTGGTCGTTTAGGATATCATTCTGCATATTAATCTACCAGTGGTTAGGCTGCTACATGTACCTAGTGAAGGTTATTGACCATGGTATAAACGCGTGAGGGATTTGGTCATAGCCTGAGTCCCCGCCTAAACACCACTCCCCAAATGAGGCGATTGGTTCTCTGCTTTAAGGAAACACCCTGCTGGGTTCCTAGAAAAAAGGCTGTCATGCCTGGAGAGAGAGATGAAGAGATTCTCCCTTTTAACATCAGGAACCAACTTTGGGAGAAAAGGCACCCTTTTGTTCAGGACACTTGGACTCTGCTTAAACCAGGACGTCTGCAAGTATTCTACCTTCTTCAACTTCTTCCTGTGTCTCTCTGTTGTGTTATTGCTCTATTTATATATATATATATATATATATATATATATATATTTGTTACATCTTTTCTGTAAATATTTTTATTGCACCATTTTTACCTTTTTAGTAATAAATCCTATTTTCTGAAAAGTGTTGAACTGTTTCTAATGCTCTTTAATGCAAACTAAGAATCCCTGTCTCTGAAGAGTGCTACTGTGTGTTTTAAACTTCTGCATACATCTGTCTGCGGTGACAGGGTGTATACTGACGCTTATTCAAACATCGTAGTGTTGCTGCTAAGATTTGTGAGTTTCCTCCTTCTCTGTAAAAAGGTGGTGGTGGCAGTGTGAAGGGTTAATTGCATAATTAACCTGACCCAACAATCACTCTTAGGCTGCCGGAACATAGATTGTGGTCCAGTGAGCTGGAAAATCTCTGTGCAGGGTGCAGCTGAGAGTGGCATTGTTATGCAAGTGGTAGCACGGTTTTAGATTGGCTAGTCCTTCGGTCACAAGTTGATGAGAAGGGCTGGGGGTCTGACACCGCGCCCATCACAATAACAAAAACGCTTTCATTGGTATGTTTGACAGACCAAATGGAGCAAACAAAAGATGTTCATTGTTAGGGTTTACATATACTTTACCGGAGAACCACCTCCACTGGCCGGATCTGTCTAATGGTGGCCATGCACTTTGATTTCTTTTCTGATTAATCTCTTCCAATAAGAATAATCAATCTATAGTCAACCCATTCAATCAATATACCACACGTGTAGATTTTGATCAATAGTTAAGATATGATTGCAACTTTATAATTGATCCTTTTAAATTATCAATCGCCTTTCTGTTTCCACCTTGTAGTCTCACAATCTGATCAATTAAAATACAAACTTTTTTCATAAACAAAGCATCTCAGTGCTACAAATGAATGCAAAACTATCAATTTTCTGCTCTGGCTGATTGAGTTAGTTTGATCCAATCCAGCTCAACTGAGTCTGAAATGATCGGAAGGGAAGGTATGACTGTTTGATTGTTTGAGGATTCGATCATTTTGAGCGAATCAAAATTGATTAGGTGACAAATTGTTGTGTGTGTGGCCAGTATTAGAGGGATGACAGTTTCAACGTTTTAGATCTGGCTCCTAGAGCATTCAGCTATCAAAGTCCAGCTCCTGGAGCAAATCCTCCAACCTCCACCAAGGTCAGTGCTCTCCCTTGCAGACAGTGCTGCTGTTAGAAACCATGGGGCCCCATACAGCAAACCTGACAGGACTCCTCCACCAAAAAAAAACAGTTTACTATGCTTCAGTTATGAATGAACACAGCGAGTGATTGTTACCGATCACTCATTTTGTTCATCCAGGAAAGGAAGGGGCTGGTAAATGTGACATATTTACAGGACCCTTCCCCCACTCTCTATCCTGAAGGATCCTATTGTGTGCATGCAGCTGCTGGTGGAAAGGAGAGGAGGGAAGCTGGCAGCACTATGGGGGCACACGGGGGGAGGGGGGGCTGGGCAGCAGAGGGAAACGTATTGGGCACAGAGTGGGTGGTGGGTGCACCAGGGGGGGCAATTACTGGAGTCGACCCTGTGTATGGCTCTCTCTCTGCAGTAGCTGACAGCCAACGGGAGGAAGAGGAGAAGAAGCCCCCTTCTCTGTCCACATCTGATGCAACCATCTGCCTGAGCCTCCCTGCTTGCCTGGGCCCTGTACAGGAGGAATGGTGGTACCCCTTTATCCACGGCCCTGCTTGCAGAGGACAGGGAGTGTTGGTTCTGCCACCTCCAAGTTGGTTGTATTTTTTTTCTATTGGAGAAAAAGCAAAGGTCAGGGCAGCACTAACTGCTGCTTTCTGGTGGGTTTTTAATTTACTATTTATTTATTTATTTCAGGTACTTCTATAGCGCCATCAATTTTACGCAGCACTTTACATACA